GTCTAGTCCCAATCTCGTCTGACCTGTAATTCGATTCACCACGCACTGCCATGGATGGCAACTCTTCTTTCTCCCTGGCCATTCCTCACACCACAGTCGCATAATTATTAAAGTAACAATATCACATGTCACATGCGTCCATCGTAACCTTACACTAAATTATATATTTCACACACACGTTATCATATAATATCAAATGATACGATAATAGATTACTCATATCTGTTCATAACACTTATCATCTTGTACTATCTCCTATATACGTTATATTCATCTCATCTCTCACATCGTATATCTTCACTATCTCTATCTCTCTATATCTCACTCTCTCAATATATATTGCTACTAAGATAATATATATGATATGCCACAAAATAATCAATCTATATATATATAATATCCTCTATATCTATCTCATTATAGTATATCACCTCTCTTGTGTATGTTGTGTGTGTGTGGTGTGGTGTTGTTTGCATGTATGTATTTATGTATATAATAAAAAAATATAATGTATGGATAGATACAAATATATGTATAAATATACACATGTATATATATATATATATATATATATATATATATATATATATATATATATGTACATATAATATACATATATTGATATATTTCTGTATGATACTGATGTATGTTCATATATATATAGATAACGATATATATGTATATTAATGCATACACATATATATGTATGTGTATGTAGGAATGTATGCAAGTGTGTGTGTGTTCCTTTTAATTATTTCACCCTTTTTGTCTTCAACAGACTTCCCAGAACTTTGCTTCTCGTCAACAAACTTCCGACTCTTCCTGGAAAATCAGTCCTGGAGCTTGTTCCCCTTCTGCGGCAAAGCTGAATGCGTCAAGAGCGGCGCAGACTACATTGAGCGCGTCCATGACTGCGGTCCTCAGCCCAAGAATGGTGAGGCATGTACAATTGCCAACCTAGCTGAGCTTCAACGGAACGACACCATCCTCGAATACCCATCGTGCTGCCCCAAATACGTGTGCCCTGATGGAGTCACCCTTGAATATCCTACCCAGGAAGAGATCAAGGCTGAGATTCAGAAGCAAAACCAAGCCGCTCTGCAGGCAGCCAAGGAGGCCGCAGCAGCAAGGGAAGCGGCAGGCCCACAGGCAGCACCAGGAACTGCTTAAGTTACTCCAGAAAGACGAGGCAAAATAAACTGTGATGATAATAAAGTTATTTGGATAATA